AAATAAAACCTTAACTGTCCAACAAAAGAAGTTAAACCTTTCAAAATAAAACAAGAGCTAAATGAAAGCTTCATTAAGTCTGTTAAAACTCTAAAACTAAAATCTATACAAAATCTTTAGAGATGAGACCCTGGCTTTAAACATAAAAACACAACATATAAACAAAGTCAGGTTGTTTAAGATACGCACCTCGTACACTTACCTGGAACCATACACATTCATGTGTAGGAGGAGGGATGCCCTGGACCACTTCATTATTGAAGAGTCACCCCACTGAAGAGCTTACAGCTTCTATCGAGATCACTTCCAGAGTATCATCAGGGATGAAGCCATCGGTAGACTCTTTTGACTACCAAGATTACTTTCCCAGCGACAAAAAGGTAAATGTTGAAAAAGGACAAAATATCATCCTACCTTTACGTCATAAGCCATGTAAATAATTAACTACAAAAAGATTAGTTGATTGTAAACTTTAGAGAAGTAAATGAGCAAAGAAAAAATATTTTGATTTTAATTGTACTTTGTTTCACACTGAATTAATCATTTATTGTTTGAAATGCTGTTATTTTGTCATGAGTTACTTTATTGTTAATTATGGAAAATTAATTGCAATGTGCAATTTAGGGATGGGGCAGTGTTGTAGGCTATATTTATATTATAGGTTATCCAGAGGGGTTTTGATGTCAACTGATAGGTAGGGCTAAGTAAGTAGAACCTTCTTGAAAGTTTAGGAAACAAGTTAAGCTGCTAAATTATTATCAGTTATAGAATTAGTCATTGGACTTAGTCAGTGCAGTCAGTTGATGATTTATATTAAGATTGCTAGTCCGTTTGTTTGTTGGTGTTAGTCAGTTAGTTCTCTTTCGTGAATATTGATTTTGATGAAGAAGTAGCGATACGAGAAAGTGTCATACATAAGAGTAGTTAGAAAATATGTTATATTGCTGTATTAGTGTCGATGGTAATCTTAGGTTTATCAACGAACATTAGTGAAGTGATATGTAGAACATGAAATTCAAAAAAGACTCATTACTATTGAGTGTACTGGACTTTTCATTAAATAATCGAAAAAAACACTTCAAAGCAGTATTACAAAGTGGACGAGAAAATGAGCTTGAATATAAAAACTCGTCACTTACTGGTTCATCCATTCCTTTACCATTTTGTCCTAACATTTCTTTTGTTATTGAACCGACTTTCTAAGTTGTTGATTGGCAATTTCGTGTGTATTGACTAATACAGCCCTTAACCACTACATATATTTCTATCGATATTGTACGACATCTGCTCATAGGGGAAGACCATATATTATGTCAACATGGAGTAATATTTCCCACACAAATATGGGCATGTTCAGTGAAAATTATGTAGATCTCTGTTCAATTGATCTATATACCATCATAATGTACAGCAAGTCTTACTACAAATCAGTTATAATTCATACACTTGGTAACTTGTATTACATGCCAAAACATTTTACTTGGGGGCGATAAAGCAAAGTGTACATATTCACATATAACACCTTACACAACTCAAAAAGCAATTTGGTGTTGGATTTAACTCCCTGATTAATGTAGATATCTTCTAGTGCTCCAAACCATGGTAACAAATGATCTTTCAACATATCAACTGTGGATTGTGCTGATGTATCAACCAATAGATAAACCTCAGCTCACTTTGTGGAGTAGTTGATAGTAATGAGTATATACCAATTAGCTCTCTCAGTCTCTAGGAATGTACCATCCAGGACTATCCTCTTCAGAGGAGATGCAACTATGTCCTGCTGGAATTTACCCTGCCTCAGACGATTCATTATTTCAGTGACATACAGTACACCAGTGCCAAATTTCACTACTTTAATGCAGTCAGAAGAACTGCTAGGACAAGTGCAAGTAATGCCTTGGTGCCCTTCATTCTTTGGGTTATGCAAAATCAAGAGAACCTCATGTTGACTTTCTATTCTGGAGACCAATAGATACAACACAGTCTGAAAATCTGTCTTGGTGATTTATAGTGATGGCACAGTACATTTTCCTACTCATAACTGACCATACAATTGCCACAGGTTATGTGCATCTATGCTATTGTCGTCTATTTGTTCTGGTCGGGCTTTACCTTGCTGCACAACAAAGAGTGTCCATGCAAGATATGGGTCCTTCAATCGCTTTTCTTGGAGTTCCCAATGTGTTAATTCTGGCATCCATCCACTAGTGGAATCTTTCCTTGTAAAGCTTAATTAACGTTGCTATAACAGAAATGGTTTCAGTTCCCACAGGATGTTCAGAATCAGGTTATCCCATGAATAGATATGGTCTCACTGTGCAGTTAGATAGTCCATATATTTTTCTATGTTGTGCACCTAGGTGATGCATTATGACAAATTATTATTTTTGCAATGTTGATATCCTATGTACTATCATTCCTTCCAGCATTTTGAGGTTCTATAACCATTTCAGTGAAGTATAGCCCACTTTGATATGGAACCTTTTACCATATTAGTTGTGGCTATATTGTTTAACAAGACTACAACTTTAAGCAGTTATTTTTGTTGTTATAAAGTATCTGCATTTGGGAGCCATGAACATACAACTGACACTGACTGGACATTTTAGTAGCTGACTAACATGTTCTACTCTATCATGCAATAGTAATAACACTGCCACAGTTTCACTATTCCTGTTATTGATGCCCAATAAGAAATCACTTTCTTGTCTTGGGTATGCCAACACTGGAGCCTCCACTGAAACAAGCTTGGGGGGATTGAAATGCTTGATCACATTCCTCGCTGAACCAAAGTGTATCTCAATTTTAGTGATAGCAGACAATAGTATTGTTACTATTTTGGAGTAGTTGGCCATAAACCATCAGTATTATGACAGAAAACATAGAAAACTGCAATTTTTGCTTGGTCAGAGGTTCAAGTCAGTCCCTTACTGTTGCTATCTTAGCAGGGTAAGTAGAGATAGATTTCATCTCAACTTTCAATGTAACTGAAAAACTCCATTTTTGTGTGTGTGAATGCATATTTTTCTGGTACAGTTCAAAGCCTGTTATACTTATCCACTGGAATACCTTAAATTCGAACTTGTGAGAAAACACCAAAACCTTGTTCACATAGAGAAGGCATCTTTTCCATTGTAGCGCCTTCAGTGCAAGCTCCTTAGACATTTAAAAGTAGTGGGCACATTACACAGGTCAAATGTATAAGATGAAGGTCACCTAATCCATCTCTCTGGTTAAGATCATTAAAGAACCCAGAGGGACAACTAGCACATTGGATCGGGAAAATAGACCAGTATAATTATAGTATTCAATATAGAGAAGGAAAATCACAT